ATAAAGGGCTCCGCAACATCAAAAATATCTGAATACCGTCCTGTAGCCGCGACATCACCGATTGGTACAATGTCACTGGCTCAACCCCGACGACAGAACTGGGTCGGGTTCAGTGCAGTGTCGCCATACGAGGCGGAATTCCGCTATTTGTAGCGGATTATTTTGAGAAGAGCGGCGTAGCGGCAGTAGAGCAAATTAGCCCAAAATGTAGCGGAATTTATTACATACAAAACTATCATATTTATTTCACTGTTTTAACGTTCTAAATCCTAAATAGGCAGTGGCTAGAGTCTGATTTATTATCACATTATAGTGATGTAAAATAATTAAGTAACGCTTACAAAATAATCGTTACAAATGAGTAACTAAATGTAACGAGTCCTACTTTTTGAAAAAACTCGTTACTTTTTATTTGAATTCGTTACTTTGAATGCGATACGGTCTTTTTCTATGTATACTTTCTAATTACTGTTAGTTACTACACTATACATTACTTTAGATACAAACGTTACTGGGATCTAATGTAGCCAGTACTGCCAGCGCCAGCAGCAAGTGATTTAGTTCTTGGATGTAAATGAAATGATCCGAATATTGTTAGGCTTAGGCAACTTTAGATACTCTTATATCAAACGAGTTGCAGACTGCGGAGCTTTAGGTTGGCAATGTTTGTGTACACCTGTACACTTTTCATTTGACTTTGAGAGCTAGCGGTTGGCGGGTTGTTACTGGTTTGGACGTTGCCGTACAAGCTCGAGCAATAATGTAATTATTATTTGTACAAAAATATGGAATCATCCGCGTCCGGTTCAGGAGAATCGCAAACTCAAAAAAGAAGTGTTATTTGGATGCATTTCACCAATATATCGGAAGCTAATGCAAAGTCTAATCTTTGTAAAAATATTTATTCGCATAAAAATGGAAACATTAGCAATTTAAGGAAGCATTTGAAAACTATACATCCGACACTTTCATTGGAAGGAGAAAGGGCAAAACGGCGGGTCGAAGACGAAAATATGCCTAGGTGCAAAAGAAACTTAGTTTCAGGTATGTTTTATTATTATAAGTATTTTGTTGAACACCATTTACAGTGGAGTAACCAGACTGTTAAGTAGGGCAGGGGAGTAACCAGACTGTTAGGGCAGGGGACGCTACTCAACTAAAGTAAAGAGTGAGGAGAGTGGTGCCTCCACGGTCCCCATCTGGTTATGTCACTTGTTAAATACTATTTACAGCGTACAGCCAACGAACCAGACGTCACACAACGACGAGTTTAAAATATAAGTACCTTCTACGTATCAAATACCAAAAAAAAATAATAGGCAAGGCATTAGACAAAAAATAATAATTGGATCAATCCCAAAGTAATAATTTGATACAATATATAGAATGTAGGTTCTAAACGAAATGTCCAAATAGTAACTAAACTAACGAGTCCAAAGTTCGAAAGTAACGAGTCCTTACCAGTCCTAAAAAGTAACGAAACTTTGCATCACTATCACATTAATAATAAAATTGGTGCATTTGGTGCCGCTTGAAGCCATCTAGGAACAGAGAAGAGAATTATTCCACTTGCCTTTTTTTCAATAACAGATGGCGTACGTACTGCTTTCAATACTAATCGTTTCTAACAGGTCTCAGCAGGCAGACATAATATTAGGTTTCTCGCTTTGTATTGTATTTTTCAGCTCTGGGTATATACTGTTTAGTTTCGTTTATATTAGTGTTCTTATTTTTGTGTTGATGATTTTATTGATATATCATTTGCTGCAGATTTTAATATTAAATCTACTGGTAAGTAACAAAACTGCTTAAATATCTAACATATTATAGTTTGATCCAGAAATAAATCTTAGTCGCGAAATTTGTTTTTAACGCTTTTTCTTCTGGAAAATAGAAATAATGGAAAGGCGACAGCAGACCATTAACGATTTTTTTGATAAAAATCCTTCTAAAAAACAAACGGTGAAACCAAACGTGGCCGTTCCATCCACTTCGACTGCATCTGTGTCGGACTCGGAGCATCCCGAACCTGAATACAGACAAAATAGAAGAGCGGAATCTAGTGGAATCAGGTCTGAGCCTGATAATTCGACTTGCGAATCTCAGGATAACCAAGAGCCAGAGCAACCTGTTAAGAAAAAGACACGAAAACAAATGTTTACTTCATCATGGCTAGAAGATCCGTTATTTAAAGGCTGGTTGGGACCTATTAAAAATGACAAGTTGAAAGCAAAATGTAAAGCTTGTAATCAAATAATGGGTGCTAAAAAATCAGGTTTAGTGAATCATTCGAAATCAAAAAGGCATGCCACTAATGTACAAGCAATTTCGAATGTAAGAACGTTAGATAGCACTTTTCAGTCTCGGGAAGCACGTGAGTTGGAAAAAACGGCAAATATTTACTTGCTTAAGATATAGTCTTTAGTTGTAAGTCATTATATAAGTTTTAGAACTGTTGATCATATAACAGGAGTTAGTCAATTATGTTTTAAAGACCCACATCTCTCTAGCTCACTTAAATTAAAAAGATCCAAATGCATAAGTATAATTAAAAGTGCTGGCTCCTGTTATTAAAGACGAAATAATTTCAGAATTGGAAAATAAACCATTTTCTATTTTATTGGATGATAGTACAGACCTGAGCAATACAAGACTACTATGCATTCTTGTAAGGTATATTCATAAAAATTCAATTAAAATCCATTTATTAGATATAATTAAAATAAACGCAGATGAAGGTACCGCCAAAGGTTTATATTCTCTTTTTAAAAAATTCGTTATATCCAATCAAGTAAAAATTACCAATATTGTTGGATACTGTTCCGACAACGCTAGTGTTATGATGGGCAATAACGAATCTTTCAAAACTTATCTTTTAAACGATAATCCTAATATAATTGTCAATGGCTGCATTTGCCACTCTCCTCATTTAGTGGCGGTTGCGGCAGCTGAAAAGATTCCAAGCAACGTTGAAGCTCTTTTACAAAACTTATATTCTTACTTCTCAAGAAGCCCAAAAAGGCAGTGTGTTCTTGAAGAATTACAGGAATATTTCAAAAAGTCAAAATTAAAAATTTTAAGCCCTAGTAAAACAAGGTGGCTTGCTTTATCCAAATGTGTTGATAGAGTTTTGGATCAGTGGGACATCTTGCTTAGCCTATTTAGATTAGCTTCCATTGAAGACAAAAATCCTGTAGCAAATGTAATACTCAATGAGTTACAGAATCCATTTGTTAAGGCTTATTTAATGTTTTTTAAATTCGTGTTGCCCATTTTTAACCAATTTAATGCTCTCTTTCAATCAGAGAAAGTTATGCTCAATATCATATCAATAGAGAGTGAGCGATTTGTACGTCATCTATGTACAAACTTTATGCGACCAGAATATTTTAAAAATGAGAAATTATATAATCTAAATCCTAATGATCCCCACTGCTTATTACCAATTGAACAAGTGACTGTTGGTCCGCATACAATGGATGCAATAAAACACTGCAATAACACGGCAATCGAACAATTTAAATTGAAATGTGTCACATTTTACCAAAAATCGGTAGAAGAGTCCCTTAAAAGATTTCCTATCAAAGACAACTTCTTCTCAGAGCTAAAGTTTCTCTCACTGGTTGATGTGATGAACAATCGTCTTATTATAAGTGATACCTTTCATGACGCCGTTTTATTAAAAAATTTGTCCTTCATATTGAAACCGAAAAGGCAATTTTGGAACTTAAGAAAATATGTATTTATTTTAGTGATAGTGAGAAAGAGGAAATTTTAAAAACAAAAAGTAACGTCATTGAATTTTGGTCGTTTGTAAACGACCTCAAAAATTTTAATGACGAATATTTATTTCGCAATATAGGTAAACTGGCTCTAATAATTTTAACATTGCCTCATGGAAACGCTGATGTTGAGCGAACTTTTTCTTATATGCTTGATTACAAACCAAAAAAAAGAAATAAAATAATACCATCAACTTTGTCTGCACTACTTACAATTAAATTAGACTTGGAATCAAAAAAACAGTGCTGTTTATCCTATAGTTTTAATGAGAATCATTTAAACAAATATAAAAACAATTTATATAATGTAAATAAGGAAGAACAAGCTGAAGAAGTAATTTCTGATTCTGACTGTGAATAAAATAAGCAAACGTAGGCATTTCCACGTTTCCGCTTCTTCTTTGTCCTTATTTTTTGTTTTTTTTTCTATTAAGATTAAGATATTGGTGATAGTTTCTATTTTTTTTATTAGTTCCTGATTCTAAACCAAAGACAGTTTTGTTTTTTTAGAGGTATACTTTTTATGTTTTTACAAAAAATTGCAATTATATTATGTTACTGTTTATATTTTTAGTAGGGTTTTTAGACAGTGTTTAAAAAAAGTAAATATGTAAAAAATATATTTGTTGTTTATTTTAAGCCCCCCCCTTAAATTTTTAGACCGTAGCGGCATGTAGCGGAATTTTGCGATATGTGTGACGGATATTTAAAACTTCGCTCTGGCACGCGTAATGGGGTGAATAACTTTTGCAACACTCATGTTTGGTCAGTAGAAAATCCGCACGCTGTCCGTCGGGCACATTTTCAACAAACATTTTCGGTTTATGTTTGGGCTGGCATGGTGAACGGTATGCTCATTGGACCATTTATTCTCCCAAATCGATTGGACGGGATGCAATACCTAGACTTTTTACGCAACATTTTGCCTTCCTTCTTAGAAGATGTGCCATTAAGTGTAAGACAATCAATGTGGCTTCTGCGTCTGCTCGGTAGCGCATCAGCTGATTTCATTTTCTGTTGGAGCAGTATAATTTCGGGCAGAGACGTACTTAGCCCTTCTCGTCAACTGGAGAGTGAGTACTTTTTCCTTTAATTTTTTTTTACTTGGTCGCCCTCGTTTCACTACACATTACCTTTGTTATTTCAAGGGTAGTTGTTTCTGAAAAGGAAAACCCCAACTTTGCGGACACCCTGTATATATATATATATATATATGTGTGTGTGTGTATACAAAATATTTGTGCACAATGGCATTAACAATACTGTAGACGCACAGTTTTTCATTATAATACAATATAGGTTATACCATAGCATTCTAGAAATTATGTATTCATGTTTTCTTTTCAAAACCCTTCGATGGCTAGGTTCTTTCTTGAGACGGGCTGGAAAATCAAACACAGTTGGAACTGGCACCTTTTTAGTACCTTATTTCCATGAACACTAACTTCATAATCCTCTGAAGTGAAATGCTTTTCACAAATTACCGTTTTTGTACTGGGAGTAAAGTTTTCTCTTCTTATAGCATGTAACCACAACTTCCTCATTTTAGGATCTGTAGGTATCCTAAAAATCCAGATATTTTCTCGAATTACCAATAAACAGGTAATTCTCACACCAAAATGATTGAGATGATTCAAACCAACCTGTGAAACTTCATTTTCTCATCTTTTCTGCGTCTATTGCAACAATTCACCGCACTCCAAGATTCAACCATTTTTAAACAAATATCACATAAAACAACACCTTTTGAAGGCTGTCCGGCATAAAAATGTTTATAGTAATTGTCGCAAACTATCACTATTAATCTTTAACGTCACTAAAAACAAACATTCACCAAAAATCCTTAGAACATATATGGAAATCCCACAATGGACCACGATGTTTTGCCCTGATTAGCGCTGTCCTTCTCGTTTCACATTCTAGCCGCAATGAATTCGCGTACGCATGTTCCATCAGTGTTGACAGTTCATTGGGTGAATAGCATGGAACATGGAATTAAACCTTCAGTGTATATGTTTTGTGTTTTGTGCATAAGACGTTTCATCTCCATATGGCTTTTGTGTCTTGCATTTTGTACTTTTGTAGTGTTTTTGTGGAGTCGAAGGTGTTGAATTAGTGTGAAAGTGGAAAACTCTACTGAGAGTACTGAGTTAATAGGCACAATTGTTTTCTGTGGATACGAGACATAAATTCTCCTCGTGTTTACCGGCACCTCTACATTAATTTGAGCACGAAGTTTCTGCGTCACCGGCGTCACCTTTTCCATCATAGGGATAAGTAAATGGTCGGTTTTCTTCATGTTGTTATAAATTTTTAATCTAAACAAGCTATGGGTTCTAGTAGTAAGAAATATAAGGATAAGGAGTCCCGCAAGCGTCGCCATGAAGATTATCATGAATGCCCCAAAGATAAGAGACATAAACACAAGAAGCACCACCATAAGGATAAAAAGAGGGAGAAAACTTCAAAGCACAGCTTTGATGATAAATATAGGAGCAACGAGAGCGGTGGTAAGACGTTTGTCTTTCTTTCCTCATGCAAACCTTAATTGAACATAATTTATTGTCACTGATGGCAGAGCCAATAAGGTGTGACTTGCACACTTTAATGGGTCTGTTTTAGGCTAAAAAGCTACACCTTATTAGGTATGTTCCCACCCTGTGAGATTGTATTATACCCGGACTATAAATATTTACTTCAGAGTAGCTGGATGAGTGCCTACCCAGTACTCAATATGTGAATCTGGGTTAGTCTATGGTACTCTTCTTTATTAAAAATACAGAATATAAATATCTGGCAATAATATAAATTTTGATATTTCAAGTACATAATAATCGCTGAAATCTGTATACCTATACAAGCCAAACAAGAGTAATTAAAATAAATCAAAAGACATAAAAGGAAACAATACCATATTAATAACATAATAAGTATCAAAAGAGAATAAACCAAATAAACTGAACAGTATTGAATGAAACTGGTGTATAGCTTTGTAAGCAGGCACTAAAAATAAGTTCAAATTCAAAGGTAATACTGAAATCAACTATGTGAAATTTAGTTAAATCAAACTGTTATCACAAGGTTAGACTGTATGTACTGTACTAGTTATTTGCTGTATTTGTTCCTTGGTGTGATAGGGGATCTCAAGTGCTACCAATATATCCTTATATAATTATGTATGGTCAAAAATCAGTGGTTTAAGATGTTTCAGTTTTTGTGATTTTTGAACAATCACCCAAAATTGGGCACATGAGTCTAAATGAGAAAAAAAGCTATGCACTAAATGCATCTAATGTATTTATTTATCAAAAATCTTCCTTAATATGTGCCTTTCATATATATTCACTTTCTAGTTCCTGCTTTTGGCACCTTATTGCTAAAAAGATCCCCCTTAACAGCTCTATAGATACTGAAAATTCTGCAAAGATCAATCATTTGAATATGATGATATTGTCTTTTATGGTTTGGTAGAGTCACTATTAAGGCATATTGAAAATATTAACATCACTTGTCCAATCACCAAATTTTCTACATCATTGGGGTTACTAAAGACCTATACATTGAAAGCATTGTAACAGAGGCACCACTCAGGCATTATAGCAGTTGCTTTAGCTTATAGTAAATGGGAAAAAACAACTGAGGCTCCCTTTTACCACAAGTGTGACAAAATTGAAGCTTGAAAGTGATTGCAAACCTCCAAGCAACTATGAAAAATTTTTGAAAAATACAAATACTTCATTTAGTTGATGGACTGTTGTTTGGCCTAATTAAGTTTGATTGTTTATTTCATAAAAATTAAACATTTTCATTCTGATGTTGAATACCTTTTTGGAAAGCTGACTATCTTGGCAAGTTTTTTTATCCTGAATATGCTACTAAATTTTAGAGCTGGTCACTGGTTTTTAGGAAAACGCTATATTATTTTTCAGAATAGCTGATATTACTTCATCATATAGAATGTACATGTATTATTTTTGTTGCACCTTTTATCATTATATTTTAAACACAAACTATATGAAGGAATTAAATTCTGATGCATTCTTCACATTGTTTCTTATTATTTACGAAAATTTTAAAATCTCAAAAACTATTGATTTTCGACCATACATATATACGAGGGTTATTTCAAAAATATTGTTCCTACATTTTTTTCAGGCACAAGGAATTTGGTATTTGCAATTCACCATTGGAAACGTTAATCTTTAAGCTATTTTAATAAATAGTTGACATTTTTTTCTACACATTGTTTCAGACGTGTAAAGAAGTCCGCCGCCAGCCCGTTTAGGAACTTGGTAACTGCTTCTTGCAACTCCTTGTCCATCTTGAATCGTTGTCCTTAAGAAGGGTTGGCAATGACTTCCCAGACAAATCACCAGATTAAGCAGTATACCATCATGCTGGTCCTAAAACACTGTTGCCATGATTTTTTCTGCTGACAGTGTCTGCTTAAACTTCTTTGGTTTGGGCTGGTGGTGTTTCTATTGGCGAGATTGTTGTTTTGTTTCCGTATTGACTTAGTGGCACCACATTTTTGAAAGCATATGCGGCACCTACCATGCACACGCCTTGTGGTAGCCTATCTTTTCTTTCAAAGCCTCAGGAATTTCAACAGTCAGTTCCCGGATCGTGATTCGCCAATCTTCGAGCAAGATTCGCTCAATGTTCCCATAATTTCCTTGGAGATCGACGGCCTCCCGCTTCGTTGTTCATTGTGGATGTCCGTCCGGCCGTCAGAGAACTAACTACACCATTTGCGGACATCTTGAATATGTATACACATTTTCCCATACAATTCACCCAACTGGCGATGGGCTCCATTGGTTGTGGGGAAACCGGCAAACATGATGGTGTTGCCAGATTTCGCCCAGCATCACGCGCGGCAGAGTTACATTGTTGGGAACTTTATTTTTGAAACAACCCTGGTAAGGTGTAATTTGTTGTACTTTAGGTCCCCTACACACCCTGGAGAGAATAAGGTGAATTACCAGTAATCCTGTATGACTTATTCTTTTATTCTACTGAAGCATATTTTAATAAAATTTTCGTTTTAGATGATGTTGTGGAAATTGTGCCAGTTGAAGAGATGCCACAACCACCAAAAGTTCATGCTGCTAGTAGCAAGGTGAGAGAATCACCACCAAAAAATGTGGAGAGTTTATCAATTGAAGAAACTAACAAGCTAAGAGCAAAACTAGGTTTGAAGCCACTGGAAGTTAGATCAGGTGACAGTTCTAGTACAAGTGGTACAAGAGACACTGATAAAAAGAATAATGAAGTGCTTAAAAAAGATGAGTGGGGTGAATTTTACCACAAACCAGCAGAAAATCTTGTCAAAAAAGCAGAACAGGAGAAACTGCGGGCTAAGTTGTTGGAGATGAAAGAAAAGAGGCAAATAAATCAAAAGTTAAAAAAGACAAAAACTCTTGGGGAAAGTGATGAAGAAGATGATATTGAGGCATGGGTAAATAAGAACAGGAAAAATGAACATGAGAAGAGAGAGGCAGAAAAAAGAGTAAGTAACTACTGATGCTATTCTCATCTGTCAGCGTTAGCATCTGTCACTTAAATGGAGTGCTTTTTTGAAAATGTTTGACGTTGCATAATCGCTGAATGAATTACTGCAATCTATAGTTTTCCTCTTGCTGTGATCTTGTTTAATTTAAGATACAGGATGCTCAGAAAATGAAGGATAACAAACAAAATTTTGGCGTATCAGATCATGATGTGACCTATTAGTAGTTGCTGGATAATAATAATAATAATCTATATTTCAAATTGTACAATGACATTGCAAAAATTGTATAGCCACTACGAAATGAAATGTTGCATCACTATGGTGATAGTAACTATAGTAGTTTACCTGAGACCTTTTTTTTGTGTTACATATTTATCATAAAATAGCTACAATCTGAAACTATTACAACTCCCATAGAACTCATCTATTGTATAAGGCTCTGACTGTACTAGAAATTGCTTAATAGTCTTTTTAAATTTATGTAAACTGTTTATGTTTTTAATTTCATTTGGTAGATTATTGAAAAATTTTGAACACATGAAAATAGGGCTTTTTTCTGTGGAGGATAATCTGTGTATTGGATAATTAACACTGACTGTTCGAGTATCATAAACAGTTTGCACCTCAAGCTCATGATTTTTTCAGTTTGAAACACCCCCCTGCAGGTTTTATTGAAATTTAGTCCCTTTCGCAGACATACTGCTCTATTTTGAACAACAAATTTTTTTGAATAAACCTATTGCACCCTCAAAAATAATCCCATACTTTAGAACACATTTAAAATTAGCATGGTACAATATTTTCATACTCGTATTATTTAGATATCTTGATATTACCCTAAAACCATAGCAAATGGAATTGAGCCTCTTCAGCAGTTCGAATACATGTGTTGTCCAATCTAAAAATTCATCAATGTAGATGCCTAAGAATTGTACACTTTAACTCAACTGCAGTTGTTGATCATCTATATTGATACATTGTGGCTTAACGACTTTACTCTGCTTAGCTCTAAATAATGTTGCATCAGTTTTGGATTTATTCAGCACGAGTTTGTTCTGAGAAAACCATGTATTCACACTTCTGAATAAGAGATTCCCATTAGCAGTTAGGTCCTCTATACTTGTCCCACCCAACACTAAATTTGTGTCATCAGCATAGCAGATAATTGTATGCTTGCTCTCATCACCACTAGTAACAAAACAGAGATCGTTTAAAAAAACTACAAACAAAATGGGCCCAAGTATACTACCCTGTGCTATGCCAGTTGAAGTCAACTCAATGTTTGACTTGTAAGTTTGACCTCCTTTAACAATTTCAACCCTCTGTTGTCCATTATAGAGGTATGACTTGAACAATTCTAGCGCAGTTCCTCTTACACCATACTATTCGTCATTTGTTTGTCTGGGCGTTCCGTAGGACCTTTGCCCATTAGTCACTGTCTAACGTACGTTAGTCGAATCTGTCAGTACTGGTTGCCTAGAAACCAGACAATGTCAAGGAAAAAGAGAATGGGAAAGAGAAGAAAAATGGAGAAGAGCAAAGAAAAACAGTGTTTAGTTTAAGAGGAGACACCTAGGCTTTTTGATTTGGTACACGGATTAATTTTGAGGTGATCTAAATAAATCTTTGATTTAATTTTGTTAGAGTGTAATTTTAAGTGTACTAAAAGTTCGCGCTACTTTTTGATTACAGTGCGAACCGTGGCCTTGAATGTTTACGAACTTGCTCCACTGTGTAGTCCACTGAGTCGCGCAACAGATGGTTGCTGTGCGATTTCGCTTGACTATAACGTCGCTGCGCCTGAAGTTTGACATAATCCCTCAAGTAAGGAATGTCAAGGTCTCTGTGTAGTGTCTCGTTTGAGACCATGGAGCGTTGCAAATTGTTCGCAAAGTTCTACTTTGCAGTACTGGAAGACTTTGCATATGTGTCTTGGCAAGAGAACACCAAGCCGCACATGCACAAGTAATGGCTGGTCTAATAATCATTTTATATAGGGTAACTTTGTTTATCAAACTCAATTTGGAGGATCTACATAACAAAGGATATAGTTGCTGAAACGCGATTTGGAATTTTGTTTTCAAGGCTGCTTTATGTTTCTGCCAGGTCATGCCTTTATCAAGGATGACACCGAAGTACTTGGCAGAATTTGTCCATGGTACACGATTGCCGTCTACCTCTGCTGGGGGCCGCGACGTTATTTGGTACAATAAATAGCCTGCGTTTTCGAATGATTAATTTTAATCAGCCACCGTTCCGCCCAGTCTAGTACTTCTTCCACCGCACTCTGCAACCCATCGTGAACCAGATCACCAGTACACGACTGGGCGACAAGTGCAGTGTCGTCAGCAAAGAGGTAGACTTCACAGTTGCTGGGGCAAGGGATATCATAAGCGAATAAAGGGTTGGTCCTAGGACCGGACCCTGAGGAACACCGGCCCGTACTGGCCGTGTTGTTGACAAAACATTGTTCATTTTGATCCGATACTTCCTTCCTTCAAGAAAAGATCATAGTTGTGAGAGAACTGTTTTTTCATGGCATCAGCGAAAACCTCGACCTTGTCGTCCATTCTGAGGACTATGCCTTCAGGCTGTTGAATGAAACTTGTCCACTCCGCTTGAGCGGCATGTACTCCAGACTCATCATCTATAATCGGGATATTGGGAAACTCTCTAAGGAGCAACTTGTATAGCTCTCAATCAATGCGTTTCCTTGAAGGAGCGTCCTCCTCAGAAGTTAGCTTATTACCCACGTACAAGACAACAGGTAGATAGTCACTAGAGATATCATACAAGATTCGAGAAGAGATACTGTATCTACAGCTTGTAGATATCGCGAAGTCGATGACATTTGGTGCTTGAAGATGGTTGAATGGATGGTGTGTCGGCTCTTCAGTGCTATGTATAAGGTACCCATTTCGCATCACATGGTTGTACAGTCGAATCTCACTAGTGGAATTCAACCTAGAATTCCATGCTCGATGTTTGCAGTTGAAGTCCCCTGCCACAATAAGCGGACCCGAGTAGTCCAAAAGACACCTCCCGCCATATTGACCACCACAGAAGCTGCTTCGATGCTATGCATCTCCGCATTAGTGCTTCTATAATAGTCTATACCGCACTTAATGAACACTGAACTCGCCTCGACCATTCAATCTGTCACCTCGGATAACATAATTCGGGAGAGCTAAACGATCTCCCGGATTAAGCAACGTTTCCTGCAGCAAGGCCACATCTATACCTTCATCCAAAAGAGCTTGATGAAATTCCCGTTTTTTGGGAATATCCCTCATGCCCAAACAATTCGAAAAAAGAACTTTGATGAATGCAGGCTGTCTTACAGGAAATATCGCCTGCAACGCTTGGGTAGCGCTAATCAGTGGGCCTATTGTTTGTTGTAGGGACCTTAGCGCGGTTGCCAGGTCCACATTTTGCGTGCTCAAGGGAGGTTGGGCAGAGTGGCCAGGCAAGGTTGCCTCCTTAGCTGCGTCCGCGTATGATAGATTGCGCCTTTGCGCTATAGCTTGCAAGTTCCTCCTTGGAGTGAACTTGCAAGTCCGGCTATTTGCGGGATGTCCCTCTCCACAGTTTGCGTACTCGCGCTCTTCTTCTTCTTTGAGGGGGCACAAATGCGTCATGTGGTCCTTTGCACATTTTAAGCATTTGGGCGGTGCAGTGCAATATGACTGCGCATGCCCATACTTTTGGCAGCGGTGACACTGCCCAATGAGTCTGGAGTTCTTCTGAACCTCAACTCGAATGGCCAGTCCCAGCAGTTCGTGTTCATTGAATACTTGCTGAGGCGTTTTGGTCTTGAGCAGTATCGCGACTACCAAAGGCATGGGCGCGCCGCCGCTGCGCTTCAATCGAATGATGTGGAAAGGGCTATAGCCCATCTGCTCAAGTTCTCCCTTAATATCAGTATCCGAAAAGTTGACGGGAACTCCTCGAACCACTGCGTGTATGTTCCGTTCCGAAGGGAGAGGAAATGTGTGATAGGGCCCTTCTTCCTCTCGGAATAGGCGAACGATCTTACGGTAGTCGTCCTCGGATTTAGGAATAATCCTTATTCCCGCATCGTCAGCAACCGCGCTATCTATTTTAATGTCTAGGGAAATTAATTTGTAGTTTAACGTACGCCACCTCGCCCCAACACGCAGAACAATAGGCGTTTCGCGCCTTTGGCGTGAAGGTTGGCTTGATGCCATATCAGCTGAGCGAGATGGCTGAGAAGTGACATTGGCCGACGGGGTGACCTTAGAGGTAGATAATGTAGTCCCTCCGCCAACCGATGACAAATGTTTGGTAATAGACTTAGTGTGGCTGGTATTTTGTTTTGATGAAGTGGGGGAGGTGCGTAAAAGAGTGGATTCTGTATTTGGAAGAGGCGGAAACTCCTCTGATCGTCGCGCAGTCTTGTTGCTTCTCCTCCTTCTAGATTTTGCGTTTATAAATCCGTCAGTGTGTGTGTGTGTCATCGTCTGTGGATGTATATTGAACGTCGGTAATGGTCCGTAGCGGTCTATTTAGGCTGTTGGCCCGTTCTTTAGGGGATTCTTTCGAACTTATTAAAAGAGTTACCTGGGCGGTCAGGCTGTCAATTTTGGCCGTCTGATCCTTGATTGTATGCATGAGTTCTCAGATTTGCCTCGCCTGGTCGGCTATAATCATCATCAGTTTCTCGTTGGTTTTCTGCTCCGGTGACATCTGCGTCAATGGACCCATGTTTCCAATTTTTGAACGTGATTCGCCGCCGCTCAGCTCCTTCCCCATTATCAGTAGTACTGATTCCTCTTTGAAGCCTCCATATTAAAATAGCTTTTCTTTCCAACAAACTCGTAAAAACCTTTAAGCTCGCAAATGTGACGTTGTCGAAACCCTTCTTACAGGGCGTTATCCTCTTACACCATATATTTGTAGCTTTAATAACAATATGTCTCTGTCAATGCAATCATAAGCTTTGGACAAGTTCAGGTAGAAACCAACCACTAAGTTCCCTCCTCTAATTGCTTAAGTACTGTTTGAACAAATTGAAAGATTCCAGTATCTGTTGATCTCCCATGTAGGTATCCATGCTGATGTGCATTAAATAAATTACAGTCATTCATAAATTCTAATAATCTACTACTGATGCCTAACTCATATAATTTTGAAAAACCCGTTAAAATATTGATTGGCCTATAATTTTCTAATTGCTCTGGATTACCTTTTTTAAAAATTGGTTTGATAACAGCTATTTTCAAATTCTCTGGGAATGATTATCCTTCATTCTCAGGACACCCTGTATTATAGCACTTTAACTTAACATAATGGAGCATAATTTCTTATTGTGTGAAACAGATTACATACTTAGAATACATTTTTTTTGTAGGCCAAGATGTTGGAAGAATTGGATGCCCAGTTTGGTATAGGAGAAGTGGTGCAGTCTGAGCAACTTGAACGAATGAGGCAAAAATATACAGAGAATGATCTGAAAGGTCTTACTGTGCAACATGACATAAAAAGTATATCTGAGGAACATGATGTGGTACTCACATTAAAGGACAAAGGTGTATTAGAAGAGGATGAAGATGTTCTTGTCAATGTTAATATGCTTGATGATGAAAGATACAAGAAGGTAAAATTCTGTAGAATTGTTAACTTTGTCTCTTATTCCTTACCATCTGTGTCCCAATTTTTACATGGAATTGTTTCATTGATTGAAGGTTGATTGTTGGACATCATTTCATTTATAAAAGATTGAAGAATATGAAACAAAACATATGGAAAAGGAGGTACTATAGAATTTAAATTATGTCCTGATTAAAAGTTCCCATATGCACAAAGTTCAATAATGGACAGTATTTAAGCAATCGAATGTTAAAATTTTATTAGACATCTGCCTCAGAAGCCCCTGAACAAGCAGCAGCAAGTAGCTATTCATCTTCCCAACGTCGTTGGAGCTTTGGACATATCTCACTTACTAAACAGAAATTTCATTCAAAACGCGCCTATTTAGCAACATAGCCTAGCTACAGTGATGTCACTACGCATTTTTAGAACAGTGGAAGTAAGTTTCTTTAGATGGAACTCAAAGCAGGGTACAAAGTCATGTATACTACATATACCCCCTGGCAATAGACAAAAATATATCATTTATGACAAACATGTTAGCTTATGTAGCCGGGTAATACTAAAAATACAGCAGATAATGCAGTAAACACATTGCGCCTTTAGAAGTGTCATATGACAAACTATAAAATGTACAGCAAGTTCAGCCAATTCTGTACCTCCTTTCCTGTGTTTTGTAAGGTAGTTTTTACTTCTCTACAAACTACAGATTATAAGACAGGCTTATCTCATCTCATTTTCAGTAATAATAAAATAACTGTATTGATCATTGTTACTTGAAGTCTTGAACATACCAACAATTTGAAATTTTGTTGAATTTGTATTAGAATAGTTCTATGAAGATTTAGTCTTTTATAATTTTGAATGTGATTTTGTTGGTTCAACCTTTGATATCCATCAATACTTGTGAATGTAAAGTAACCACCAATTTTCCAGAATATTGAGAACAAGAAGAATAAAATTGCATACAACCCATACCAAGATGATGAATTCGATGAGTTTGGCAACCCGACCGAAAAATCATTACTCTCAAAATATGATGAGGAAATAGATGGTGAAAAAAGAGAGTCTTTCAAAATTGGATATGATAACACAGTAGTGAGAAAAAAAATTGTCACTGAAAGCATAAAGGAAAAATTGGCAAAAAAGAAGCTGGAAACAATTGGAGAAAAGCAATTAACTATTGCATCAGAGTATTACAATGAAGAAGAATTGGCAAAATTCAAGAAGCCCAAGAAGAAGGTCAGAAAAATCAGATCAAAGGGAAAATTGTTGACTGAAGATGAAATCAAACCAGATAATTCTGGTATTGAATCTATTGGTTCCAGGAGGCCAAAGAAAAGTGAAATTGATTATGATATTGATGATGTTCCATGTAAGTATCTCATTTTGAATTATTAGATGATATTTTTGAATTAAATACATCTGATTCTATAAAAAACAATATAAATATTTTAGCTGTTGAAGTTCCACAAGACTTGAAATTGGAAGACGACAAGGATGATGTTTTGGAGCAGGCCCTGCATAAGGCAAGAACTATTAAACAAAAAGAAAATGTCATAGCAGATCTAATCAAGACTGAAATCAAAACAGAACCTGAAGAAGAAAATGCCGATGTTGGAAATATTGTTCTCAATGCCACTGCTGAATTTTGTAGGACTCTGGGTAAGTATTGTTTCTCCATGTGTATTACAGGGTGTTCTTAAAGTTGGGACTTTCCTTTGCATAGCATCTATTTCTTATGCAAATAATCAAATTGTCATTTTAACATATGTACACCAAAGACTTAATCAAGATAGCAAATTATAAAAAAATCTGCTATATCAAATGCGATCTTACCTAGATGCTAACTTTCAGAACATCCTGTATTTGTAATAAATATATATATATATATATATATACAGTGCTTTTCTTTAATGTCCCCCTGCCCTTTGATTTTTTGAACGGATCAATTCAAAAAATTAAAACTTGATGTAATGAAATTTATCCGTGGATACCATATTTTAGAGTAAAATTAACAGATGAAAATGTCAAGATGGCGCTGGGCGCCATCTTAGGAAAAAAAATTATATGTGGTCCATCATTTTGAAGCTCCTGACGAGAACTTTATAACCCTAGAATATAAAGTCAATACCTTTACCTACTACAAAATGGTGCTACATTTAATAATTACTTGAACACAAACCCACTAACATGCATATCTCTACAAATAATTGTAATTCCCTGCCGTATCCACAGCAACAGCGATAAAAACTTGTTTTGTTATTTTTTGTTGACAGTGACAAGAATATCAGTACGATACATTATTGTACATTTAAAATATTCTTATTTCGTTTTCAGTTTTAGTTCTAGATACTGTTTGAACTATTTTTAAAATGGTCAATTCTCGTCCATTGGAAGAAAAAATCCAAGCGATTTTTATTTATGGAGCGACGCGTAACTTTCACGAGACCGAAAGGATTTTTAATGATCGTTTCCCGAATCGTCCTATCTGTAGAAAATATTTAAGGGAACTTGTATCTAAATTTACAGCTACTGGTAGTGTAAACAACAAAAAGCCCCCAGGTCATCCGACCATCCCGGAAGAAAAGCAAGTTCAAATAATTGGTGAGATCATAGTAAATCCCCAACAGTCTACTTCCTCAATCGCGAATGTATGTGGGGTTTATCCTTCTACTGTATGGAGACTTTTGAAAAAGAATAAGTAACACCCATACAAAATTCAAATGCTAACTGAAGATGACCCTGATCGAAGAACAGAATTCTGCGAGACTATGACGGAAACCATTGCACGGCATCCTACCTATATCCAAAATATTTGTTTTAGTGATGAATGTACATTTTTTCTCAACGGTAATGTGCATAGACAAAATTGTCGTTTTTGGAGCGACACCAATCCTCACGTCTTCCGGAAAACTCATACTCAATATCCACAAAAAATTAACGTTTGGGCTGGGATATTGGAAAATCATATTGTGGGGCCTCTATTCATCGAACAAACTTTAACCGGGGAACTGTATTTGGATATGGTGGAAAATACTATTTAATCACCGAAATCGTCGAAGCGAATCCTAATGAATTCGATACCAGCAAGATGATGTTCTACCACACTACTACAGACAAGTCAGGAATTATTTAGATAACAATTTCCCCGGTCATTGGATTGGCCGTCGAGGTCCTGTGGAATGGCCAGTTCGCTCGCCAAGGTGTACGGAACTGAATCTGCTTCAATATTGGATATACGGCTGAGAATAACAAATATTTGTAGAAATATCGATGTTACTATGTTTGAAAATGTTCGACGCAAAATTACGGACCGGCTGTTATTGTTTCAAGAAGTTCAAGGCAACCATTTCCAGCATCTTCTAAACGTATTTATTCGAATTATCAAGTTAAATGTCAATGTATTCAGGTAGTTATTAAATGTACGACCATTTTGTAATAGGTAAAGGTACTTTATATTCTAGGGTTATAAAGTACTCGTCAGGAGCTTCAAAATAATGTGCCACAAGACCCCCGTTTTCATATAATTTTTTTCCAAGATGGCGCCCAGCGTTTTAATTTTTTGAGTTGATCCGTTCAAAAAATCAAAGGGGAGGGGGACATTAAAGAAAAGCACTTTATATATATATATATAATGTTATATCATTTAAATTCAACTTTACTTTTTAAAAATTTTATTCGAGGACAGTAACTACTGTCCGTTACAAATTACAAGAGTTTACAATTACTTGTTTTGACGGAGTCTAACCGGGTATTGAACAACATGAAATGGGCGCAAGGCCTATTTATACTATTGGTGTGCTTACAAAGCACTTCTAGAAAACAAAGCATAAGCAACGAGTTAGCGAGAAGTCGTTATCTATTGCTGAACTAGCGTCTGATGCAACATTGTATGGAATAGTAAGTCCATTGTTATGAGTGCATATAACAACCGCTATTACAAAAAGTTGTTGCAATGCGATAACTTTTGACAAAATTAGAAAAATGTAAAAGTGTAGAAATGTAAAATTGTAAACATTGTAAAATATAAAAATATAAAAGTAGGAATAGTAAAATTGCAAATTACAAATTTTGTTAATGCAGTCGTTATAATATTCACCATCAGATGAAACGAGGTTACCTGTTATTGTTTTCCAAATTGTACCTATGGCATTAATTAAGTCGCTTTTATTCGCGATGCGCTAGTTGTATCTTCGAAAATTTCGTAATATTTGGTTTTCAAGGAACGGGAAATTTGGTAGAGAAGGCTCGTATGTGTCTTAATTTCACTTCTAAATACTTTCATGCGATTAGCGGTTAAGTGTTCCAGCATATTATTGTTATCGTCGAGTGCCTTTTTGATCAGTTCAAGATCTTTGTAATCGAGTAGTGTCCAAACTTCCTTAGAAATTTTGAGAGTGGAAATAAATACATAATGTGTTAATGGGTTTGATGTCAATCTGCGCCGTACAAACAGCCGCAAGAAACAGCAGACTGCACCTGGAAGAGAAACTAAGGGCACGTTTACATCGAGCGCGCTTCGCTTGGAGCTGTGCGCCTCACTTCATGTCAAGCGAACCTCTATGCGTTCGGGTTCATTCATATCGGAGGCGCTTCGCTTTTCATACCTCGACTGTTATTAAAACACACTTTATATTTAAAGACGCATTTTCCAAGCATTTCACCATGGCTCCTTCACGAGTTAAGAAGATATTACTACTCGAAAGTATTGCGTTGAAAGTGAATAGAAAAAAACTAAAACGATCGTGGGTGCATGAGATTAATATATGTAGGAAATCGTTCGGAGAATTCTATCACCTCTATCGAGATGCCAGAAAATATCCAGAAAAATTTTATGAATACTTGAGGATGTCAAAGGAATCTTTCGACCTTCTCCTAAGCCATTTGGATCCTTATTTATGTGGGATTGGAACCAATTTCCGTGAAAGGATTTCAGCAGAACAACGTTTGGTTATAACATTGAGGTAAGCCAAAATAAAATTATAGTGTTTATGAAAAACTGAGTTTTATTTTATTAAAAAATACATTTGTCCGAATAAAAATGTTACGCGTTATATCCTGAAAAAAAACTTCGCATAGGGGTGTCCAATTCACTACCTTCAGATACATTGTGTGTGGTCGGATCCGGATGTGTTGACTGTATCGGTATGTGATGATGGTATGTATGATTGTCCGAAGCGGAACTTGAGGGAGCGGGGAAGGTAAAGACACGTGCCGGAGGTTGTCCACAAACATTTTGTGAAACTTCACTTTCATGCTCCTCAACTTGCTGAAGAAGCAGTTCCTGAAACTTTAATCTTAGACGTAATCTTCTTGAAGCAGGAAGACTCTTCATGTATGGCAAAAGACTCTTTAGGAACAAAAGATCATCATCATTTTCTTTAAGTGATTCAGACTCTAGGAGCTCAAGTTTCCGTTTTTCTAACATTATTAGTTCGCTATTGTCGTTTTCTGTTGCCAGTTGCTTCTTTCGCTTCTGCGCCCCCTTCCGAGTTTCAGAAGTAGAAGATAATCGGCTTGCAGACCTTGAAGGTGCTTGACTGCTGGTCGATGGCGGTGACAAAACATTGTCAGAATCTTGCGACTCTACGTCCTGTATATCATTATATTCTAAGTCAATATCTTCTGTGACCCTTTCCGCTTCTATATTTGCATCCCTCAGTGGGGTTTGCAGATGGTCTTTTAAAAATAACAAAAGAGAATAATATTGCCAAGGACTTGCTACAGCTTCATTTGCTCCACTGCCTGATCTGGGTTTTTCTAACTTTTTTGTTTCTCTGTTAAAGTAGTCCCTCAAGTATTTCCATTTATTTTTAACAGTTTGAACTGAAACAAAAATTGCTATTAACACCAAGCATATTTTATGTATGTTTGTTGCAGATTTCTTGCTACTGGAGAATCCTATCGATCCCTAGCTCTACACTTCAGATTGGGGGTGGCAACAGTTTCAAATATTGTAAATCATACATGCATGGTAATATGGGATACCATGAAAAGTGATTACCTACCAAAACCTACACAAGCAACGTGGCACAATAAATCACAACAATATTGGACCAAATGGAATTTTCCAAATTGCATAGGCAGTATTGACGGCAAACATATTGAAGTTAAATGTCCCTCCAATACCGGATCTCTATACTATAATTATAAGCAATATTTTTCAATATTACTTCAAGCCCTAGTTGATGCTGACTGTAAATTAATTGCGGTTGATATTGGGAGTTTTGGACGCCAAAGCGATGGAGGAAATTTTAGGTCCTCGTCGCTTTTTCGAGCATTAGACAGAAAAGAGCTTGACGTCCCACCTGATCAATGCTTACCACAAACAAATATAAAAGCCCCATTGGTTATAGTAGGCGATGAAGCTTACCCTCTGCTTCCATACCTAATGAGGCCATATCCTAGAAGAAATTTAGATAATTCAAAAAGAATTTTTAATTATCGTCTCTCCAGAGCCCGGCGATGTGCTGAATGCGCATTTGGCATAATGAGTGGCAAATGGCGAATTTTACTAAAACCTATCGAAACAAAAATTGAGACAGCTATAAATATTGTAAAGGCCATTTGTATTTTGCACAATTTTGTTATAGAACAGGAGGGATTTAAGACAAATAAGGAATGTCAGACGGGCTTTAGCGGCGATATTAATCCGAGTACCT